TTGCCGCGATGTGATGTGGTTTGACAGTCACAAGGTCGCTTGAAACGAAGCTGGCTGCCAGCGGCTCAATAAAAGAAAAGCAGACAGTGCTTAAGTGACTCTCGTCCCTCGATGTGATGTGATTTAAATGAAGACAGTTTCTTCGAAGATTGTATTACTTCTTTACACAATACAGCGTTTGTCCGGAAAGTAATAGGACTGAGCCGATTTAAAAAGTTTTACTAAACCAATCGTTATAATTCTTTAAAAACTTTCAAAATATGCACCTTCTGCGTCAATACAGTGCAGCCAACGCGATTTCCAATCACTGAAAGCATTTTCCGAAATGGCCTTGAGTACCGAAGAGCATGCTGCTTGGATCCTCTCTGTCATTTCAAAATGCTTGCCTTCCATCGGTCTTTTCGGGCAAGGTAACAAAAAAAGTCCGGTGGACCACATCTGGGCTATAGGGCGTTGGGCTGCCGGCCTTGTTTAGGTATCTGTTCACAAGAAAGGCGTCGTGCTGCAACTTTCAATCGGGTGCGTTGTCTTGTTGGACCCAATTGACCCTTCGTTTGAGTCTCTTGAGGATGTTTGTCCTGACTCTCCAGGTGCTCCGAGACAACTGACCAGCCGCTCGTTCGTTAGCTGGGAACGCTTTCTACCGAATACAGTCGGTACGCGCTCCGAAGTACAGTCGCGGCGGAAGAAAATCAGCCCTATTACTATGAGAAAGTTTTTCATACAAGTACTTGATTTCGATTGTTAGACTTGTATGGCAGCTATATGCTATTGTGATCCGATCTGAGAGACTAGTTCGCCTAGATACAAATACACGGCTGAGCTGAACATGGGTCTCCGACGTTTCCCTCTGGGTGTTACAAACTTCGTAGGAAACTTAATATACCCAAGGACTTAGGACTTCACAAACTCGCCTTCCCCACACATTAGTTCGAAAAGCCTTAGGCTAAATAAATTTAAGTTTTTTGCACCCCTGGCTTTGGAGCACCCTTTTGCACACTTGAATTATGAACTTTGGCATTTTATATTAGTATTTGGATATATAGCATAAGCGATATCCTTAAATACAGAACTATTTAAACCAAAATATACTATAAATATACTAAAAATAGTTAATTTTAACCCTAAAACTCTTTTGCAGTTACGACGCATAATAATAACAGCGCTCCGGAACTCGACTACCTCCGGGAACGTTTACAGCACTTGCAAGATAGTCTACTTAAAGATTTTAAAAAGTGTATAAACGAAGAAATCGAAAATATTGTGCAGGAGTTACGTCAACACGAACTCCAACTAAATGAATTCCGCGGCTTCGCTAAATCACAACACACGAACACCTGGAGCAATCGCATTGCAGTGACGGAAGACGCCCAAACGGCCAATGGCAATGTACCAACTGAAAAATCCAAAGAAATCAATGCCGAAAGTAGGGACAACAAATTAGCAGGCAAACACAAAAAGCAGCCCCGACCGCTGCCCGACAAAGTGTTCAAAATACGCGAATCGTATCTCACGGTGTTACTGGAGGTCGACCACATGCGCACCATTTATCACATATTCGTCGCAATATTGCTGATGCTACTCATACAAAGCATTTCGTATGATTATTTGGCCGAGGGAAGGTCAGTAATTTTGCGATTATTTTAAAAAGAAAATGAAAAAAAATTTTTTTTTTACAGAGTTTACTTCGGTTTGGGCACCTTTAAATCGTCTCTGGAGAAAATTGAATATGTTTTTGGCATTTGGTTATTGGAACATGTTGTCGTATTTCTGCTTTATTACGCCTTCAAAATGTGGACTAATGTGCGTGTCAAATTGGCTAGGCAACGTGAGTACAGTAGCAATAGCCACTTTCTATATCTGAGTATGAGTAGATTGATTGGCGGTCACCTCTCATTCCTCAAACTTAGTTTCAAATATCAAAATTCTTTATTCAAACTGTCTCGGTATAGTTCATACACCCAATTCTCTTCCACATGGATTCAACGAGAGTCGATTTAGTCGCGGATCCAATTTACAATCATTCTTCAGCTATACATTGTTAGGTAAATTTATTGCCACAAACCTAGGACATCAGGGAATCTTACAAGGAAAGGAAATCTCATAAATAGATCAGTGAGCCGAAAGGAATTACAAGCAGGCTTCAATCTCTAAGAGTTTTTTCTTATAACCTAGCGTGTGGACTCCTCTTCTTCTCCTTTACTGGCGTAGAAACCGCTTACGGGATTATAGCCGAGTTAACAAGAGCGCGCCAGTCGTTTCTTCTTTTCGCAAGGGGGCACCAATTGGAGATTCCAAGCGAAGCCAGGTTCTTCTCCACCTGGTCTTTCCAAAGGAGTGGACGTCTTTGTTTTTCCTCTGCTTCCTACGGCGGGTACTGCGTCGAATACTTTCAGAGCTGGAGTGATTTCATCCATATGGACGACATGTCGTCGTATATCTCATACAACTCATCGTTCCATCGAATGCCATATTCGACGTGACCAACTTTTCTCTCGAAAACTCGTAACGTCGCCTCAGATGTTGTCATCGATATTAATGAGTGACTTATAGAGTTTTGTTTTTCTCCTCCTCATCTCCTCACCCCTTACAAATATTGAAAAAACCCTTCCATTATTGAAGTAAAAATTGAAAGTGAAGAAATTTTGGTCTGACAAGGACTCTTTAGAAGTATAAAAATTAGCATCGGCTTATAAAGAATTCACTCTGAAGATTTTTTGCTATAATTATAAGTCAATGCCAAGATGGCAATTGGGATGGTATTCCCCTACAGAAACTCATTTCTTTCATATATAAAATTGAATGAAAACTTGTGTATTTTATACTTTTCAGCGGCGCTCCAAAGTTTCTGGTCGCATTCCTGCCTAATAACATACATTAGCTCACAGTTATTATTCGGTTATGTCGCCTCGGCACTTTGCCTTAAGCTGGATCTAACTTTTATAACCGCCTCCATTTTGCTGCTCGAGTCCACTAGACTGCTGATGAAAATGCATTCCTTTGTGCGCACAAATGCTGGACGCGTGCTCGCCGGCAAACTGAAAACAGATGCGTTATCAATTGATGTTGACGACTTATATGATGTACAGCAGTCAACACAAGCTATACGCCTGCCAAGCTTCAGTTCCTACTTATACTTTCTCTTCGCACCGACACTTATCTATCGCGATAGCTATCCGCGCACAACGCACATACGTTGGAAATTCGTTTTGGCGCGTTTCATGGAAGTGGTTGGAGTTGCATTTTTTTACAGTTATATATTTGAACGTTACATTAGAGTACAGTACGAAAATATTGGCCTTGAGGAATTGAGTCTACGCACTTTGGTCATTAAGTTACACAGCATGGTTATGCCCAACAATATCATCTTTTTATGCGGTTTCTACCTCATTCTACATTCTTGGTTGAATTTCACCTCGGAATTGTTACGCTTCGGCGATCGCATGTTCTATAAGGATTGGTGGACATCATCAACGTATGATGAATACTTCCGTAATTGGAATGTTGTGGTGCATGATTGGCTCTATGAGTATATCTATAAAGATTCTTACAATCACTTGTTTAAGGGCGCAAAGTTACCAGCAATGTTAATGGTATTCTATACGTCAGCGTTGGTGCACGAGCACATAATCGGATTTGCATTGCAACTCTTCTTCCCAGTGATGTTTTGTTTCTTTGGCGGATTTTCTATGGGTCTGCTATTTCTCTTCCGGAACGCCTCCAAGAGAGTTGGTAATTTCGTGGTATGGTTTTCACTGATCTTGGGCAATGGCTTATTATATTCCTTATATAGTATAGAATATTATGCGCAGAAAAATTGTCCAAGAGCTTATGAAAGTTGGACGGACTACTTTGTGCCCACAGTGTGGACTTGCTACAACAAATAATAGTACTACAAGTCGAACAAATTTTTGTATATTTGTATTGTACATATAGAGCTTTAGAGGTTATAGTGAAGGATATCAATAATTTTCTATCTAATTGATAAGATTTATGTATCTTTGTAAATATGTAAGTGCATAGATATTAAAAATATTGAAATGTCTTCAACAGACTTTTTCTAAAAGCTCTGTTGTGCTGTTTTTACTAAGAAACTTTGTAGATTTATCGTTACAATAGTCGTTATGTGTTTAAGAAATATAGCAATATGGAAATTATTGTGTAAAACATATATGCCAATTTTAAGTAATTTAAATATTAATAAAAATACAAATATATGTTTCCTAATAAAAAAAAAAGAAATTCTGTTTTAAACGTAATTTAGTTGTATTTCTCGGCATAGAGTTTCGTAAAAGGGTTACAAAAGGATAGATTGATCAACCAGGAGTCTGAATACAACAGCATCAGGTAACCAAACAAATTGGGCAGGCACTACTTTTCCCAAATTTAACCCAACACCTGGGTCTTATATAGCACACAATATATGTACATAGTCATGGAAACTACCTTCCATTTACAATATCCTTGCAGCGTTTAAATTGTTTAAGACTTTAGTCCTAGATCAACCTCTTCAGCCTTAACAGCTTATTTTATCATCAAATGATATATAGGATGCCATTTTTCGTCCATTCCCATCCTCCACGAACACCTCTTATTCAAAACAGCAGATGCTATATCTGCCTCGCTACATCCTAATCTTTCTCATAACTATATTACTTTTTTTGTAGAATATAATTTATAAAAAACCCTAAAGAAGACAAACTTCGCAGAGAGAATACGTAATTTTTGCAGCGACTGTGACGAAATGTCAAATAAGATTAAACGCAAGGTGTCACGGATTTCATACAATTATTTTTTTAATCATAAAATCGTTCTTTACGTATATTACACTATAAAATTTTTCAAAACAAAAAATACGACTTTATTCGAAAACAAAAAACGTACGCACACATTTTATCACATATTAAGTGTTTTCAAATACATACGATACCATATTTATCATTTCTAAGTTTAGCTGGCAACTACAGCAATAAAAGCCAAAATAAAACAAAAAGAACGTCGTACAGGAGATTTATTTTGTGTAAAGGTAAATTTAATTACAACTTTTCGCGTTGTATATCAAAATATAGAAAAAAATGATCTATACAACAGTTGGAAAAGACCAAAGCATTTCTATTGGTGTCTATCTTAAACAATTTGAATGAAGAGAAAGCAATTTGTGAATAAGTCTGCCGTGCTTTCAAAAGGTCGAACAACGGAGCAACTTGTAATTTGTGTTTCTTCGAAAAAAAGTCAAAGAATACGAATGTTACAACAACAATAAGGTAAATGAAACTTAAAAGTGATAACCAACTGTTGGCGATAACAGTATGATTTTAAAATTATTTAATATTTGTACTTGATTAATAGTAAATAAACATCATACTTATTAAACAACAACACTGAAAACAAGGGAACAGCTGGTAGGCACTTCGAACTGAATAACATAGTACAAAGCGTCGCAAAACAAGTGAGATTTTCAAATAATGTTTGGTTCGCGCTGGTCACGTTACCAGTACGATGTGGACGATTTACGACGCAGTAATGCCACAGCATTAATTCTGGAACGTCAATACGGAGATATGGATAGATATGTGCAGCGACGTTTGCAAGTATCATCCGCTTACATTGATCGACTCGAACAGGAGACTATCTTACGTGGTCATCAAGGTTGTGTAAATTGTCTTGAATGGAGCAGTAATGGGCGCATATTAGCGTCTGGTTCTGATGATTTTTGTGTGATGCTTTGGGATCCATTTCGTAAGCGTTGCCTACGTAGTATACCTACCAAACATTCCGGCAACATATTCTCTGTAAAGTTTTTACCACGACATAATGATGCACTCATTGCCACGGCAGCGGCAGATAGATCCATTTACGTGTTCGATGTGAATCGTCCAAATGATGCTATACTTAGTTGTACTTGTCATGTGGGGCGTGTTAAGCGGTTAGCCACAGCACCAGATTCGCCTTTTGTATTCTGGTCAGCTGGTGAAGAGGGTTCAGTTTTGCAGCTCGACACACGGGAACAACATCGTTGCAACACTGAAGGAAATCGTGTGCGTTTAGTAAATCTTGATACACATGTCAACACGCATGCTGAGGCCAAATGTCTGGCAATTAATCCGCGACGTACAGAACTTTTAGCAGTTGGTACGAATGATCCATATGCACGCTTATATGATAGACGCATGTTGCAACTAGTTTCATCGCTGGTTGGTGGAGGCAGTAATCTACTTGTAAACGGTGCCGGTGAGAGTCTAAATATTTTTAATAATACCATATTTATAATATAAAAATATTTTCTGTTAGATAACGGCAATGGCGTAATACCTAAAGATTGTGTCACATATTATTGTCCCGGACATATAAGTAAAGATAATTCTAAACTTATCGAGCACGACTCTCGTGCTATAACGTACCTTACTTTCAATGCGACCGGCACAGAGTTGCTGGTGAATATGGGTGGTGAGCATATATATCTCTACGACTTGATGAATGCCGAACAACCAGTGTTTTTGAACTTACCGGAGTACAAACCGCCACCAAGAACTTCAGAATCCGACATAGAAATGGCAGTTATGCAAGCAAGTTATAATTCCTCTTCTCCTAATGAAAGTGCTGCCGGAAATCAAGCTATTGATGAAAATAACCTCTTAACACAAAGTGCAATTAGTACCGTTGATGCTCCACAAACGACTAATCGACGAAAATTGCCCGAATACATTGAACGCTATAAGAAAATGGGAAACGATTTTCTTGAAAACGAAAAATACTTACGAGCAGTTGAAAAATATTCGGAAGCCATTGAAATGGCGCCCAACTGCCCTGTATTATATCTGAATCGAGCCACTGCTTATATGCGACGACTTTGGTTCGGTGATGTGTATGCAGCATTGCGGGATTGCCATCAGGCCCTGCGACTTGATCCTGCCTACATTAAGGCACACTTTCGTTTAGCACGCGCGCTGCTCGTGCTGGGCAGACCGCAGGAGGCAGACGAGTGCCTTAAAGAGCTAATCGCTCGCTTTCCCAGCTATGCGAATAATCATGGTATCATGATGCTACGTAAGGACATCAAAGAGAATCGCCAAATGTCACAATCACAACAGCAGCAACAACAACAACACCAGCTGCATGGCAGCGAACAACAACCCTATAACTGTTTAGAACTGTCCGATGCTGAATATCAATGGCGCAGCAAAGCAAAAGACTACAGCAAACGTTATGTGGGTCATTGCAATACAACAACTGACATCAAAGAAGCGAATTATTTCGGCCGCGATGGTGATTTTATTGTTGCTGGTTCGGATAACGAGAGTTTCTTCATTTGGGAGCGCAACACAAGCAAAATACGAGCAATCTACAAGGCTGACGTTTCGATTGTCAATTGTGTGCAACCGCATCCGGATATTTGTTTGCTAGCAACCAGCGGCATTGATCACGACATAAAAATATGGTCACCAATTGCACCGTCTCCTGATGAAAGACCGAATTTGGTTGAATATGTCGACAAGACGGTGGAGGATAACCAGCAAAAAATGAAAATGGACCCGTTTAATATGAACTCAGGCATGAATGCTTTCTGCCTTAATGGATAATGCGTGATAGTTATGATAAACCTATAGTGCTTGCAAATTTTAATGGGACAGCTCAACTAAATTGTCTATCTAACAGCTAAAACAAAATAAAATTTGGAAATAATCTAAAAAAAAAAAAAGGAATGAATAAAACTGTTAGCGGTAAATGTGGACTAGATTTTGTTTTGTGGACGACAATTTAGAAGTGTATGCATTAAAGAATAATTTTCGAAAAAATTTCTTCACTCACTTTTCTTGTTGTTTAAACATATATTAATAATTGTAAAGCTTTAAATTGCTCTATTTTTTTTTTTTTTTTGCCAT